AATACCCAAAATGCTCTCAAAAGTCAAACTTGCACAACCATGGTCAAAGTTAATGTCATCGGTCAAGGTCAACAATCCATGTTGACCCAAATCGTTGAATGCACCAATAAACACGTCGAGTTCCTATAGAAATCAGATGGTCGGGAAAACCCTAGCCAACACGTCGAGTTTCCCTCACCAACTCGTCGTGTTTTCCCCAGTTTAATACATTCAACTGTTCCTTCAATTCTAGGGACTCTAAGGCTCAGCTCTAAACTCAAATATTGTCTAAAAGGATAAAGTTTCCAACTTTATCCTTTGGGGCTACTCCAAGTGTTCAAAAACCCCTCCACAAGGCTTGAAGACTCAAGGACTTAACCATTAAGCACAAAATCCTTGAGATCTGAAACCCAACTTTTCCAGAAGGGATTCTAGCCTCAAAATCATCCCAAAGGTTGGTGCTTTATAGACATGCATGTCCAGTGCATGCCTTGAACCCAAAATGGGTCAAAAAGGGAAAATATGACCTAAACTCCAAGCATGGCATCAAAACTTGGCTAAAGACCAGATCCAAACCACTACAAGGTCACCTTGACCTGGAGATTCATAAAGTTGCAAACTTTATGAGATCCATCCATTGCAACACCCAAGAATAAGGATAAAAAGGGACAAAACTCAAGATCTAGCTACTTAGAGGAATAAAAATCGGATCTTGGACACATAGAAAGGTCCAAAAGATTGTCAAGCTGAAGATGAGAGATTTGCTTGCTAGATCCTTGCTTCCTTCTTCCAACTTCTTCTTCTTTTGCTCCAAAAATACCACACTAGCTCACAAAATGAGAGGTAAGGATGATTGGGGTTCACAAGGGCCAATATGGGGGTTTGGAGGCTGATAAAAGATCAGCCCTATGGACTTAAGGAGATTATATAGGGTGCAAAACCCTAAAATTTAGGGTTTCTCATCCAGCCGCCAACACATCGAGTTTCCCTCACCAACTCGCCGTGTTGGTCCATAAAAATACGCGGCCCAAAAGTCCTTCAACACGTCGTGTTGAGGCTATCAACACGTCGTGTTCCAAAGGAAAAACATGCTTTAAGGAATAAATCTCATACCTGGGAATCGGGATGTTACAGTACGGTTGAACTTTATTTATTGTGATAGTCGTATTTTGTGATAGTCGTATTTTACTCGTATTGAGTTGGATTTTTGTGAAATTTATATTTCTGGAATCCCGGTAGCATATAGAATCGAAGTATTTTTACCTGCTCGCAAAAGTGACATGGATTTTTGTGTACTTATTTTTGAGCCTATGATTTGATGTTAATAAGAGTGATGGTTGAAATATTAGGCGTTTATATGATTGCTTTATTGTGTTTTGATATTGGCTATCTACCGCGGCTAAAGATGTATTCTATGGGTTGTCACATCCTCCCCCTGTTGAAGCAAATTTTGTCCCTGAAATTCAACTTGTGGTGCATGACTTGAAGGCATTTGTTTGAGAGTGTCTTAATGGATTTTAACCTTTGAAATTATTCCTATGGCGTAATCTTAAAGAAGTATTCTCTCTTCTTAAGGTTTGTTTTTGAAATGAGGTTGGGAACCGTTTTGAGTTCTATCGTGTGGCTAGTGGTAATGTTCATATGTGTTTAATGTTCAACCCTTTATAGGTTCTAATTTTTGTCGGGGGTTTGTCGACTAGTGAAGGGTTGTGAGGTAGTTGGATGTGCATTCCTACTTCCAATTTCTTGTTATTCCCTTAGAGCTTACATGTCTAGGGTCATATTCCTATTTTGGTTTACATTAAGAGGAAACCTAAAGTTCTTATGATTAATCGTGCTAAGGTTCTCTTGAACCTATACTTTTTCGTTCCGCGATCTTGTCATTTCTATTTTATGAGTGCTAATGTGTTTACTTCGAGTTGTGGTTTCCCATTTCTGACTTAAATCGTTTCATGCTAGATGGCGTGGTCCTTCTTATTAGGTTATCTTTCGTTTAGATTCTTGACCTGTCTTAATTGGCTTTGGTAGAGTTTTCTCTGGGTTCTACTTCTAACCAAATGGTGGGAGTTCTCTTGAAATGTTGTTAAAATATAAAAGTAAAAAATTGTTAAAAATTGTTTAAATAACTTGAAGTAAAAAATTTAGATTTCGAAAATTAGAAATCATATGAAAAATCTTATTTTCAAACATTGTTAAAATATAAAAGTCAAATAAGAAAATCAAAATATTCGAAGTATACTTATACCAAAAATCAATTAAGTGATATTTCCACTTAAAATTTTAATTCATCTATAACTTTCGGGTTCACATATATGATAATTTAAGGTTATTTTTTATTTTGATTTGGGGGGTTTGAGGGTTTTGCTTGGTCACGACGCAATGATGGAGATCATCATGGCGCGGCCACATCATTTAAGTCACGACGCAGTCAGGTGTTGGACCGCTGCGCGGTGGCAGCTGCTCACAAAACCCTAAATTTTGGACTTTGGGCCCTATATAAGTGCACTAACCCTCTATGGTTTCTCATTCTTTAAGCCTCCATCCTTAGAAACGAAACCCTAACCCTAGAGTAAGAGAACCCCGAGTTTTGTTGCCATATTTGGTGTATTGGTGGTCTCTTGGAGAAGAAGGTGGTCATCCCATTGCTTGTTGAGGTCATTGTTGTTGAGATCTAACCTTCTAAGCATCTTCCAGACATCTTAAAGGTATAAAGTTCATAAATTTACATTATTTAATTGATTGTACATACTTTGAAGTCCTTTCTTGAGCATTTGAGGTTGGTTCTTGGAGTTTGAGCAACTCCAGGACTATTGATAGGAGTTTAGGTGGTTTCTGGACCTTTTGGTCCCATAAAGTTGAGAACTTGGTGTCCATTTCCAGCCATGCATGGACCTTGGATCATTTCATTTTGGACCCTTAGAAAAGTTATGTCTTTAGATCTCGGTTATTGAAGGTAATGAAATGGATAAAGTTGGAAACTTTATCTATGTAAGGTATGAATTGATCGAGAACTGAGCTTTAGATTTATGGACTTAGGGATTAAGATCTTAACGGAATAAGCTATTTTGGATCTTAATTGCAACTCGATGGGTATCAAGTCGAGACGCGAGTTGCGAGACCCAGTCGCGATGGTTTTGGCTTCAAGTGACCGCGACGTGACCAACAAGCTGGTCGCGACGCGGTGGTCCATGGACGTTGAAGTTTTTGACCAGTTTGACTTTTGGGCAGACTTGGAGGTTTTGAGTTATAGATCGAGGTTTGAGCATCTGTTTGGTCCATGTGGTACGTGTAGCTGACTCCGCATGACTTTGAGTATTGTTTTTTCAGCTCCTTGATTCAGGTGAGTCTTATCACTGTATTACTTATGACGTAGTTGCTATGACATGATTGTATGCTTAGCTAGACTAATAGAGTCTTGTATGTTGCTTGTATGTTTGCATGTTCTGTTGAAATAGACCTATTGGATTGAAACATACTCGTTTCGGTTGAAATAAACCTGTTGGGTTGAAACATACCTATTTTGGTTGAAACAAATCTATTAGGTTGAAACATACTCATTCAATTAAAATAGACCTGTTGGGTTGAAACATACTCATTCGGTTGAAATAGACATGTTGGGTTGAACATCCCCGATCGGTTGAAACATGCCCATTAGGTTGAAACGGGCACGTTATTGTTATAAGTTTTATCCGTGTCGTTTTCACATGTCATACACGAATACACAAAGAGAAATAAGTTTTATCTCAATTTTCTAGATGTATTCGTGTCGTGTATTCGTTTCCTGTCCTATCACACACAGATTCATCTATTCGTGTCTCGAATTGCGAATTCATGTATTTGTGTATTGAATTGTCAGATCTAATTATATTATAGAAACACCACCATATTTTTTTGGGTCATTGACGTCAATACCTTTAATAATAATATTAGAAGCAAAATATATACTCTCAAGAAAAAACTTCAAGCGGTACCGATGTTACCCTCCCTCCTAGAGGTTGAGGGTTCAAGTCTCATTGGAGACATAAGTGGTATTAAATGTAATTTAGGAGTAGTGTAGATTTGCCGTTCTAAAAAAAAAGAAAAACAAAAAAACTTCAGATTTTCTTTTTATATGTTAATTTATCATGAAGAACATCTTACTTTTCCAAGGTTCTAAAAGGCATGAGGCGTGACGTGGCGGCAAAGTCAAACCTAAAGCTTAACGAGTCATGACATTTTTCAAGGCGTGATGTAAGACGACGATTTTGTATTAATTGATAATTATATTACCACATAGATTTCTATCAAATATAACTAGTTTTTAGAAGTGTTATATCAACAACTAATAACAAAAACTTAACAAAAAACACAATATTTGTATGTCAGATTAGAAAATGCATAAAAAAACAAAAAAATATGTTTCAAACGAAAAAACATGCGTCATAACACACCATAATACGTCATGGCACGTCATATCACGCCTTACCACACGTCACGCCTAACAACAACGTTATGAGGCTTTTCGTAACGGTGAAGTTGCGCCTCACGCCATGACGCGCCTTTTAGAACACTGTTTTTTTTTTCAAAGATATGACTTTGGCTATCATTTACCATCTATTTTCATACCTAAAAATTCTATAAAACCAACTCATATATATTTAACACATATGTATGCAAAAAGATCTAAATATCCAAGACGTGAATCTCATTGGAGAATACAAAGATATTATCAATATATTGTTCTTTCTCAAATACAAACAATGTTTCTATTGCTTCATTTGTTTCATGTAATTCACAATTAAAATTTGTGTATTGATGTGGTTAATCAGGTTTAAAATTTTTGTATTTGTGTGCGTAATGTAACATTTTATAGAATTTACATTTGCTAATGTATCTATAGGTACAATAGGTACATCAAAATTCAACTCTATATTACTATCATCGAATAAAAAGATATAACTTAAATGAAGATAACTTTAGATGCTAGCACAAAGCCACCATGATAATTTAAGATAAAGAATGTAACAGAATCCAAAGATGATATGCAAGGAAGCCGATATACATGAATTCTACAAGATAAAAACTAAATAACATCAAAGTCAAACTACATAAATCCTTACCATAATCCAAGATCCTACAAACTAAAGCAGTCAATGGTAGTCAACTCAAGAGTGTTGTTGAAGAAGCCAAAATGGAACATCAACATCAACATCTCATTCTTTTGTGGTTTTGTTGATGAGGGACTTGTGAATGTGAGGAATGACACCACCTCCAGCAATCGTACCTTTGATGAGTGTGTCAAGCTCCTCGTCACCACGGATCGCCAGCTGTAAGTGACGTGGCGTGATCCTCTTCACCTTCAAATCCTTGCTGGCGTTTCCTGCCAGCTCAAGCACTTCAGCAGTCAAGTACTCCAGAATGGCGGCTGAGTAGACCGCAGCGGTGGCTCCCACACGTCCGTTGGCGGATGTTCGTGTTTTCAGATGCCGGTGAATTCTTCCCACCGGAAACTGCAAGTTGTATATATATATAAATAAATATTATCATTAACGAACAAACACCATCCAATAAGGGTAAAACGGTCATTTACTCGTATTCACACAATTATTTCATACCAATAAAGAAAGAAAGAGAGTTTGTGCATATATCACGTAACCCAGGCAACTGATAATGTTTACCTTTTTTAACAAAGTGTTGATCTAAAGTTACTTTCTTGACCATTAGTAATAATTAGAAAAAATTGATGATGGTTATTATGATCAGAAGATTATATATTATTTATTTTTTCACAGTTGGGAGGTTTTCTATGTGCTTGACAAATGACAAGTAATTATATACTTCATTTAACCATGCTCACAAGCAAACCTTAAGATTTTAGGATATTGAGGGAACATTAAAGCTTAATACTGATAACAGATTATAAGTGTTGCCAAAGAATAGATTCACTTTTAGCAAACAGTCACAAAAGTTAAACCAAACCAAGTAGTCTATATGATATAAAGTAGAAAACTTCACTAGTCTCTTAAAGATCCAAGTGACAGCCGAATTAAAGAGCACAACAAGGATTATGCTTCCCAGAACTGTAAAATTTCAGATAAATGTCCAATAAACTCTCCTCAACAAGTTCACTTCTTCAATTTCATATTACTGTTTAACTATGGATAGTTATTAGAATAGAATTATTTCAAAGTAATAGAACTACACTACTACAGAAAGATCTATGTCAATTTTGAATTTGAAAATTACTAGAATTCATTTATCAAACAGAAAAAAGTATGCTGTATGCAAATTTAGTGTATAATTGTTCTTCTATATGTATACCTGGAGACCAGCTCGAGAAGACCTGGAAGTTGGCCTCTTCTTATCTTTATCCTTGTTAGCTGCTGCAGCAGCTGCTGCAGTTGTTTTTCCAGCCAATAGACCCTTCCCACCCTTTCCCGCCATTTGTGCACCTGCAGAAGCAGGTCAAAGAGATGGAACCGAAAAATTATTACGGGGAATCTCTAAATGTACCATGAAATAAGTTATCTTGAAACAAATGAAGCCGTGTTATGTTCAAATCAGGGATCGAAACAGTCAACGAATCTGCTTATATGAGCAGATCTACCTAGGGTTACCGATATTTGAAAACAAATTAGCAGCTCTGAAAACCCTAAATCAAACATCGTAGTGAAATTATTTCTAATTAACTGAAAACACAAGGTAAAGTCACGTCTAAGACGCGAAGATACATAAATTGTACATAAAACCCTAAAAAAACATAACCCTCAACTTCAAGCCTCTTTTTTAACAGGAATTCGCTAATTCAGACAAAATTAGAAAACAAAACCATTACAGATTATAGCTTCAAACGAATTGAAAGGCGAATAGCAAGAGAAAAGAAGAGAAATTTTTACCTGAAAGTATTCAAAGACCGGAAAAAGAAACAGCGTAGCAGAAAGAACCGAAGAAGATAAGTCCCCGGTACTTTTATTCGTACTATGCTTTTCCAAACCTAGAATTTTATATATCAAGGGAAATTGTACAATACCTAATGCGTACTTACAAGTTACCAAAACGACTAGTGATATGAGAAGACGGAAATAATAAGCTTATTAGGTAAACTTTACGCTTTTTATTTATTTATTTATTTATTTTTTAAAATGATAAACTAATCTTGAACTCATAACCTTTCAAATTAAAAAACCACTCCTAATTATCAGTGTTATTCTATGAGAATTATTAAGAAATTAAGTTATTTAGTAATGCGAATACGTTCAACCTCACACAAATATTTTCATTTTCATGCATTCTCACTGATTCTTATTCATTTTTGTTCTCACCCATCGTTTTTCACTCATTTTCATTCTTACAGAATACGACTCAATAAATATTCTGACAACATTCCGAGAGAATTAAAATAATAATAAAAAGTCTATAATAACCTTATAGACGATTTATTGAGTCCCCGGTACTTTTATAGCTTCAAACGAATTGAAAGGCGAATAGCAAGAGAAAAGAAGAGAAATTTTTACCTGAAAGTATTCAAAGACCGGAAAAAGAAACAGCGTAGCAGAAAGAACCGAAGAAGATAAGTCCCCGGTACTTTTATTCGTACTATACTTTTCCAAACCTAGAATTTTATATATCAAGGGAAATTGTACAATACCTAATGCGTACGTACAAGTTACCAAAACGACTTGTGATATGAGAAGACGGAAATAATAAGCTTATTAGGTAAACTTTACGCTTTTTATTTACTTATTTATTTATTTTTTAAAATGATAAACTAATCTTGAACTCATAACCTTTCAAATTAAAAAACCACTCCTAATTATCAGTGTTATTCTATGAGAATTATTAAGAAATTAAGTTATTTAGTAATGCGAATACGTTCAACCTCACACAAATATTTTCATTTTCATGCATTCTCACTGATTCTTATTCATTTTTGTTCTCACCCATCGTTTTTCACTCATTTTCATTCTTACAGAATACGACTCAATAAATATTCTGACAACATTCCGAGAGAATGAGAATAATAATAAAAAGTCTATAATAACCTTATAGACGATTTAATTAGTGACAATGTGTGATAATGACAATAGTTATGTAAGATTGAACGTATTCATATTATCAAATAACATATTTTCTTTGTCATTTTCACAGAATACCACTGTCCACACGTCCGCACAATAGATGTCAATCCACATTTGAACCTAGCTCTCTCTCTCTCTCTCTCTCTCTATATATATATATATATATATATATATATATATATATATATATATATATATATATAATATATATATATATATATATATATATATATATATATATATATATTAATTCTATGGTGTAACACCCAGTTTTGAAAGTACTCGGTTGTGGTCTCGAAGGCCAAAGGGAAGGGACGATTCAGTCTTTTATGGGTCTCGGGTTTATTCGTAAGGTTTTAGGCTTGGGGCGTGACTAAGAGCGTAGGGTTTCCCGCCACCTTTTCGTGGATATAAAGTTCGTCAGAAACGGACTTAGAACGAAGAAGTTATAGCACTTTGAAGTTATTGGCATAAGTGGTCCCTAATGGAAATGTTTGGCAAGTAAGTCCCATGCATGCAAGGGATGCATGCACGTGTCCGGCTGGGTACGCACAGCGTAAGCTGGGTTACGCCCAACGTATAAATGAGAATGGTCGCGGGTGCGGAGGGGCGTACGCCCAGCGTACGTTGAGAGTTACTAAACCCTAATTTTTAGGGTATGTCATTATATAAAGAACATTATGCCCTAGATATCAGCCTCCCTCACATCTTTAGACAGCCGCCACGAAACCCTAAACCACCTTTGAGTGTCCTTGGAGCTTTGGAGGCCATTAGAGAGCATTTTAGAGTTGTGAAGCCATTTTCCAAGCAAGTGAAGAGCATAGCAAGGTGGTGGATCAAAAGGAGAAGCAGTAGATCCAAGTTTGTGGTTCCATTTCAGATCACCTTGAGGTATAAAGCCTTGAACTTTCCTCATCTATGCTTAGATCTAGTGTTGTATGGTTTTGGAGTCTTTTTGGTCCCAATATTAGAGCTTTATGGTTCAAATCCGACTCCTAGGCTTAGAGTTGCCATTCTCTGTGCTAAATGAGTCCCTAAGACAGAAAGTTGCCACCTTGAATGTCTTAATGGGTTCATGCATGAGATCTAGCCATTTCCATGGAAGTATGTTGTCACATTTCAAGTTTGGGCTCATTTGGTGGGTTGCAAGCCACCAAATAAGCTACTTTATGGATTAAGACGTTGAAAAGGACTTGGATCTATGTTTGTAGCCTATGGATTAGAGTATTAAGCACTTAATGGGAAAAGTGACTTAACAGAGGAGTATGATGTGCGTACATGCAGGTACGCGCAACGTACACCCCATTTAGCCAGTACGCTTAGCGTACAGAAGAGTACGCCCCGCGTACTCATCAGTTATGGGCTTGGTGTCTTTTGGGCCTCGGGTTGGGCCAAGCAGTGGACTTTGGGTCTTTGGGCCTTAGTGGGCCATCAGAAGTAAGATGTTTTGGGCCAAGAATATGTTTGGGCTTAGGGTAAGGCCTATTAGAAGGATTGGGCCCAATTTAGCAAATTGGGCCATTAGTGGGCCACTAGTGGGCTTGGGAAGCCTACCTAGTGTTGGGCCTTAGATATGGACCAAGTTGGACTAGGGGTAAAATGGTGATTTTACCCTAAGGAGGATTATTGGTTTTTGGGCTAAGTGTTATTTTGGTATTGATAGCTCGAGGAGCCGAAGGAGCATCAGTTCGGGAATTGCTAGTTAGCAGCAAGAGGTTTATCGGTGGGATTTCAGCAGTACGAGGTGAGTCTCCTCACTGTCTGCATGGGTCTATGACCATAATGTCGGCCCATTATGTTTGTGTATAGTAGGAAGACCCGGGGGTTAGCCCTAGGCATTTTTATGATATATGTTCCGGATTATGATCTGATGCCGGGCGAGGCTCGAGGTATGTTAGTATGCTAGAGGTCTTTGTGATTCCTGTATGTGTCGGTAGTATGTCACACCCCGAAACCGTGATGGCGGAAACGTTCCGGGGTGGAGGACGTCATGCGTAGTATCACAACATTTGTATAGCAAGCATAGTAAACACAACCAAACACTGAATACAAATATGAAAGTGTTTACATCAGTTTGAAACTTGTTTTAAATACATCAAAAGTATGTAAAATATAGAAAGCATGACTCTTATTGCTCTGGCTCCTCTAATCCAAGAAGTATCTGTCTACTGATTCCCTGAGAATACAAGCAGTTTTGAAAGAATATCAACATAAAGCTAGTGAGTTCATAAGCATTTAGTTTTGGTGGAAAAATGTTCTTGAATCCTTTTGAAAAGCGTTCCTCAAGAAAATCCTATATTTTCTTATGAAAAGCGTGTTTGAAAACCTGTTCCTTCCATGACTTCCAGATTCATACAAGATATGTACAATCCAAGGTGTCGTGGAAGGGATATGAATATCCATTGATTACATGTTAAACAATCAGTTTTTGAATAGCCGGGTTATCCCGGGAAAATCCTACATTTTCCCTAAAGGTTGATGATTGATTATCCGTTCTAAACTGAGGTGTGCAAGTATCTACCATACTCGAAAAGCAGTTTTCTTTTAAAAACCCTGGTTACACCCAGAGAGGTATATTAGCCTTATTACATAAATAAAACTAAATAAAAGAAAACCGTAATGAACTAAGTCCTGAAGATATTATTATTAATACCCTCCAGTAATCTATCGGTTATTACTTTGAGGTTAGTTTACTTGATTCATTATTACAAAAGTAAATCTCTGCTATCTAGATTGTGAGTTTTATAACCATACATTAACTTGATATGACACGTATGGGGGCCAGTATCCTTTATGACTTTGTCACCCGTAGACCTTCCGGTCCCACTGTAGCTAGCAGCCAGGTGCGGGATAGTCAGTCCCGTATAGATCTATACACAACAGTCACACTCTCCCTACAAGAGATTCTGGTCATAAGTGCTAGTCCTACACTCTGATTCTGTGGGAGTGTTACCAAGGACGTGTCTCCAACTTAGACTAACAAATTTACAAGTAATAATACTGAAAATCCTGGTTATGATTTGAGTGAATCCTTTATAAAATAATACATTTTACTACATGATTCACAAGTTCATTGTTCTAGTTTGAAAATTGTTTCTACGAGTTGATTTCTTAATCGGTTGTTAAAACTGTTTTCCTTGCTAAAAGCATACTGAAAATATAATTATCTTAAACAAAATAATATATTTTGAGCACAAGTTTCCTTATGCTTTTGCTTGTATTCCCCCCCTGAAAACATGAAAACTCGGAAAAGCGTAGGGGTACGAACTCACCTCGGGCGATTTGAATGAAAGATTGATATGGAATGCGGGATGTTCAGGTGAAGCCTTGAACACGATTCGATCCTAAATAACATGTAATGGCACATAAAGGAGTCAGATGAAGGTATTTCACCACTAATTATGATGGAGAACCACTCTAGGAACTTGGGACTACTTGCACTAAGTGTTAGAACCTTAAAGGATTGCATGAGGGGAGTGTATGGCCACCTTTAAGGTGTGTGCGGCCATGGGTGTGCGGCCCAAGGAGTGTGCGGCCGTACACTCATGTTGGAAAGTGTTCTTGGGGTGTTTCAAGGTCCATACTTGCAATCCATGAAGTGTCCTAGGCCTATACTCAATTGTAGTGCAAGTTAGGGGTCCTAGAAGTGGGTTTGTGGCCCTAAAATGAGTGTGTGGTCGCACACTAGGGTGTGCTGCCACACAAGGGTGTGTACGGCTGTACACAGGTGTGTGCGGTCGTACACCCCACACAAAAATGTCCAAAATGCCATTTCCAAGGTGCAACAAGGCTAGGGTCCCATCTAACTCAAATATGGAAGCCAAACTCTCACTTTGGAGGGTCTTTTAGGAGTGTACGGCCACCCTTATGAAGGTGTGCGGCCGTACACCTTCATATGATGAAGAACATGATGAAACTTTGATGATTAAGGGCTTAGATCAATGGGTCCTTCATGTATGATAAGCTAGATGATGGAAAACTCACGTTTTTTAGGCCTTGAGAGGGTTTGCGGTTGAAGAATCTTGAGAGAAAGGTGTTGTGTGCTGCCAAGGTGTTAAAGGAATGAAAGAAAAGGGGTCTACCCTTTATATAGGGTGGGTGTGCTGCCTAAGAGTAAGTGTGCTGCCAAGGGAGTGGGTGTGCGGCCGCACACCCATGTATACGGCCGTACACTCCTCCAAGAGGGTGTATGGCCCGGTTTTCTCACTATGGGACGTGCTGAATCATTCCTAAACTCAACCTTGGTCAAATTCAAGCTTAAAACACTTAAATGAACCCTTGAATAGCACTAGAAATCAACAAAACAAGTTGATTATTGATTGAATTGACTAAGTGTACAAGATAGAAGTTCCGGGTTGTTACATCATCCCTCCGTTAGAGGGAATTTTGTCCCGAAATTCAAGAATAGAGTACCAATCATTAACTTGGAAAGAGGTGAGGGTACTTCTGCTTCATTGAATCCTCGCGCTCCCAAGTGAATTCAGGACCTCGCTTGGCATTCCAGCGAACATTCACTATC